AAAGGATTTTTTTTTTTCAGAAAATCAATCGTATAATTCGATCTATCGAGGTTTTAAAACTATCGAAATTCTACTGTTTCCAGTATGGTCAGCACACAAAATTTTATATAATTTTGAAATATACTATAGCAAATGCATTCGACTGCGCGAATATTTGCGTTTTTCTATTATTTTAGATGAATTAAAAAAATATTATTTTATTTGAAACTGCGTAAACTGTATTTTTAAAATTTTTAGTGGAATAAAAATAATGATGTACAATTAATTGAGTACAGTAAGTTACTGTCATCTCATAATAAATACCGAATCAGTATAACTGTCACGTTCTGTATTTGAAAATGCCTTTACGTTTAAACGATAATTTATTTGACCAAGATATTTTTTATCCCTTAGTAGTTTACAAAAAAAAAAAAAAAAAAAACATCTCGTAGAACGATTAACCCTTCAGTGCCCATTGTAGCAGAAATGCAACATGTTTCAAATTAAATTATATTATATGAAATATAATATTTTTTAATTAGGTAGTGCTCTCTATTTGTTTAAGAAATAACTACCTATCAGCTGTTATAAACACAATAGTGATTTAGTTGATAACCATTGCTTAGTTTCCCGCCAAAAAATGTTTTCTTATCATATCATCAAAACAACCGTTGCGAGCTTTTTTTTTAAGTTTTTTTGTGTCTTAAATACTAATTTATTCGTCAAACAAAAATTCTACGTATTCAGGTAAGTCTTATAGATTCTATTTAAGTAAAGAACCATACATTTTATTCATTTTTTTATGAATTACAATACATTTTAATCATGTTGCATATTTGCTACAGTGGGCAAGAAGGTAACGATATGAATCGTAATAAACTCAACGACGAAGAACTATTACAGATCCTTTTTAACACAAATTGGTCAGACAGTGAAGATGGTTTAGATAATTCTGACCACGAACAAGACCTTAACAATGTACAAATACCTGAACATGTTGATTATCCTACTAATGTAAATGATGAAGGTAAATTAATTATTATTTTAACAACTAGAACAAAACAAAAATTTAAAAAAAATATATAATTCATACAAATTTTATAATTTTTTAGTGAGTTTTGACTTATTGGATTTGCCTGTGGAAATGCAGTTTGACACTGGTGAAACATTAATTCTACCTTCAGATTCGAAATCAAATTTGACTTATCAAAACCAAAACACAACACCTAGACGCAGTATAAGACAGGCATTTTCCTCACCAACAGAAAGTACTAGCAATACTACCAATCAATCCCATTCAAGACCAAAAGAAAAAAATATTGAATTGACAAATTTAAAATGGAAAAAAGGTAATTTGATCACACCCTCTGCATGTTTAAAATTTAATGAACCTACGCTTCATAATGATTTGCTTTCGCTTGAAACACCGCTTGACTTCTTTGCTTACTTTTTCAACAATGAGCTTTTGATTAAAATAAAAGAAGAAACTGAATTGTATTCAGTTCAATTAAATCCCAATAAACCAGTCACACTAAGTATTGATGAAATAAAAAGGTATTTGGGCATTTGCATTTATGCTTCTGTGCTGCATGTGCCAAAAATCAGGGACTATTGGTCGGTTGATTTAGGCTTTCCTTTGATATATAATACTATGAGTCGTAATAGATTTGAGCTTATAAAAAGTGTATTACATTTCAATAATAATGCAACAATGTTATTGCCAAATAACCCGAACCACGATCGTCTTCATAAATTGAGACCTATAATTGATCATTTAAATAATCGCTTTTCGTCTATTCCTTGTAAAGAAACTTTATCATTAGACGAACAGTTATGTGCTACTAAAGCTAAAAGTTATATGAAGCAGTATCTACCAGATAAACCACACAAATGGGGATTTAAACTATTTATTTTGACAGATACACAGGGATATGCTTATCGTTTCGAAATTTACTCGGGCCAAGAAAACAATCCAATATTTAGAAAAACAACTGAACCAGATTTTGGAGCGTCATCAAATGTGGTGATACGATTAACAAGAAATGTACCAGTCAACAGCAACCATAAAATATATTTCGACAACTATTACACTGCTATACCGATGATGGAATACTTGTACAACAAAAATATATATAGTTTAGGTACAGTGAGACTTAATCGACTTCCTAACTGTCCTTTACCAGATAAAAATCAAGAAAAAAAAATGAAAAGAGGAGATTCAATTGAATATATTACATCTTATAAGTCCGCACCAATATCTGCAGTGACATGGAAAGATAACAAGGCAGTCAAGTTAGTATCAACATACTGTGGAGAAATTCCAAAATCCGAAATGACCAGATTTGACCGTATAAAAAAATCAAATATTATTATTGATTGCCCGATGCTTATAAAAGAGTATAATAAGCACATGGGGGGAGTTGATCTCTTAGATAGCCATATTGGCCGATATAAGATTCGTTTTCGTTCTCACAAATGGTATATGCGTTTATTTTACCATTTAATTGATCTTACGGTTGTAAACTCGTGGACGCTCTTTAAAAGAGTTAAAGAAATAAAAAAAGAAAATTCAAACATAGAATTGGCTGATTGGAGAAAACAATTAGCATTTACATTAATCCAATCGGGACAAATCAGGACAAGTGGACGTGGACGACCATCAAGTTCTTTAGAAGTAAAAATTGCTAGTACAAGACCACAGTCATTCCGCCCCATTAAAGAAGTGCGTACTGATAAGTTTGACCACTGGCCTCAGATTACGGACAAACGGGAAAGATGTAAAATGCCTTCATGCAAAGGTTTTACTTACTTAAAATGTACAAAATGTACTGTGTTTTTATGTTTAAACCGTAACAAAAATTGTTTTACTAATTATCATATGTGAATATTAAAATGTTGACTTATTATGACCCACTGTTGCATATATGCTACATAGTTCAAGTTTAAGTTTAATAAAAAAGTTTCATGTTTTGATTTTTTTACTTATTTTTCCCAATTTCCTCGTGTTTTAATGATTAAAAAAAAATTTAGAAATTTAAAATTAAAAAAATTGGGCATTGAAGGGTTAATTATTTTTACATTTGACCGAAATAAAAAATAAAAATATAACAGCAGAGTTATATGAAAAATGAGATAAGCCACCAAATGACTTTAATGAGATTGTATGTTTTTTGATGCGTTTAGTAAATTTGGAACTGCACAACGTAACAATGTAACATATAAATTCTACGCAAATAGCGGAGTAAGCTAATTATTTGTGAATTACATAAAAAGTTATAAATATATTAATAAACAAGAACAATGAATTATTATTGAACCATATAGTTATAATAAAATTATAAAAAATCTAATTAATATTAAAAATGGGTAAATTGTTAAATTAATAATAAATAAATAAATAATTAGTCTGTACACAGAAATAAATAAAAATAAATAAATGCTTAGCCTGGCATATAATAACATTTGTAAAATAAGAATGGTTTCGAGTTAAAAATTCATCATCGCGTATATACAAAGTTAATATAATTATGATTTTATTTTTTTAAATTTTTTTTATTTATTTATTTATTATTATTTTTTTTTTTTTAAATCACAATTTTATTAAATTTGGATATATATAATAATGATGAAGTTTTAATTTAAAATCGGTCATGGTTATCAAATAAAATAATACTCTAGGCTAAGCATGTATGTATGAATTTATTTTTACCATATATTTACACTATTTGTTTATTTATTTAAATATTATACAATTATGTTGATATATATATATATGGGGTGACTACTAGTCACACCCCGCGGGGTAAACATTTTTTTCTGAATTGAAACTCGAGTAAATCATGATCTAGCATTTTTTTTTTTTAATTTAACGTTATATATTCTAAGCTTAATTTTCTTTCCATAACTATACAGACTGATGACTATTTATTGTGTCAGTAGTATGGAAAGATTTATATTTAATTAAATTAATATTTTACAAGTATTTTAAGTATAGCAAAATTCACAAAACGACGACTAAGGTGTGTTTTGGTAACTACGTTATATTGTTAATATATAGTTATGTCAATATACTATGATGTTATAAACTTATATTATTGTTGACTGTCTTATTATCGAATGTGAAACAATAATATTCTATAAGTATTATAGTAATGGCAAAAATTATTTGGGTGGCATCACATATGTATCAAGAGAAAAAAAGTAACTCGGGCCGCAATTGATTAAGATTATGAATTTTTTCATAGGTATCTTTAGCAACTAGTATGTAGCCTTCAAATATGTGGGTAGTGTGAAATCATAAAATGATCATAATTTAATTCATTACAAAAATTAATTATTTGATTATCTGCACTTTATAATTTTTACCAAAAAGTAGAAACGTGGAAAAGATTATAATTGAATCTTGTCCAGTGATCAGAAAATAAATCCAAATAAATATAAATATATATTATATATATATAATATATATTATATATATTAGATATATATTATATGTATTAGATATATATAATATATATTATTAGACAGATATTAGACAGATAATATAGTTTGAAACGGTACTCATACACCAAGGCCAACAAAATATTGTGCATAAAGTAGAATGGTTTTATTAGTTTTTTGTTGATGTTTAAGCGTTTCAGATTGTTGGTATTTGACTTCTATTGATTTATTTTATGAAGGAACAAAACTAAGTAGGGAAGTATTCTCTACTGTAATTAATTGTCGAAATAAAATAATTAACAAATTCATAATAGACTGGTTAATCGTTTTGTTTTTTTTTTTTTCTGTTTCTGATTTTCGCCAATTCAGACGTAGTACAAATTTTATGTTTGACATGATTTTGTGAGATGATGTAAACGATGAAATTTGAAAAAAGGTAACATAACGAACAACTTGATTTTCGATAAATTGTTGTAAATCGTTATCAATATGCAGGGTAATTGTAGACCAGAAAAGTTTATAATCGAGAAACACTACAGAGACGTAATTATAGTGTAAGCGTATTAGACAAAATGTTTTACCGGTCTCTGTTCCAGGTTGCGGACCGTGCAGTATAGAAATGTGCTCTCGCCTAATCTAGCCGTTACATTAGAAATAGCTGGACCCTCGAACACCGGAGGCGAGACGGGCTGTTGAGATTTTGTGGAGTTTCTCCGTCTCCCGTGCGGAGGCGTCTTGGTTTTCGGTGCCGTAGGTGTAGTTGGTTGCACCAGCTCGGGATCTAACACGGTCTCTGTAACATACGAAATCCATAACGCATTATATACTATATCAATAAACGAATTCGTTTCTATATGAATTGTTACGTGACTGTTCGCTATTCGTAAGAACAGCAGCGAATGTCCGCCGATTCAGTTAGACATAGGCCACGGAATCCTCAGGACATGATAGGGGCTAGAGGATCAAAATATTGGGCCAACAACTACAGGGCCATAGTTTACATAACCGAAGAACAGCGGGTATTAATAGACCGACTACATGGATGATGACTGACAGACAGAATAAAGTACATTTTTTATTAAAGCTTTAGCATTACAAATACTTTTTAGGGTATCTCAAGACCCTTATTTTTTTTGCCTTTTTCCACTATCCTAATAAAGAAAATGTTCATTTTTTATCATCGCATGACCATTTACAGTTAATTTATCGTCCTTAACCTTTATTATAATTAGGGATTTTAATAAAGAATAAAAACAACTTTAAATTAAAAAAAAAAAAACTGCCTTTAACACGTTGTTTACATCGTATTTACCTAAACTTGTTAGAAGCATGATATTTAGTGTGGGACGAATATTCAACTATTGCAAAAATCAAAATGTTAGATAAGACGCGATTTCACGCTTCAAAAGATGCGCTCCGTCCAACCCAAGAATGGTGACCCTGACGTCACGTGTACTGCTATAAAACTAAATACTACTAAATAACTAAATACTTCAACCGGGGTGCAATGAGAAAATCACAACCATATTTTATACTATCCTGTATTATATATATACTATAACCGCATGTCAAAAACAATAATAAACTAGGAAATTGTTGCCATGAATTAACGGTTTCTTGGCAAATATCAGAAATGAATAACAAAACGCTTAAAAATATAAACACCGGTAATATAGTGATAAATTAATTTACTTAATAAGTAATGATAAAAATAATAATTTTATATTGATCACCGTGTTTTACTATTTACTTTGTGCTTTAGATTTGGTATATTATTTTTGATTACCGAAAAATATTGTAATTATAATAAAATTATAATTAATAAATCTGACTAAATCTTAATCTAAATAGAATGATAATCGTGATTATAAAAATCGTAAGTCATACAATAGAGTAGTAATGATAATATTATATTTGTTATATATATTATTAAAACCATATGGTATCATCAACTTAATATAAAGAGACAAAGTTAAAAAGACAATTGATTACAACTTTAAAATAATTTAAAAGAAAAAAAATATAATTTAAAATTTAATCATATATTAAATTTTGCAAAATGTTCTTTGTATGCTGTGCATTTTTCAGTCATTTTAACATTCGGAAATATGTATAAGCAAAATAAATTAAATACTATTTGATTCTAAAAAAGTCATTTGTTTGATTTATTTATTGCAAAATTTATGTATAGTGTATATTATATAAAACCGATCCAATTTAGCATAAAATACAACTTTTCGTCAATAGTTCATTATTCTGTATTCAAAAACTCAAATATATTTCGAGTCCTATTTGATTGTTAACTTTTATTTCATTAAACATAATATTTATGGTTATGTTAAGTATGTTATGTATGCGGTAATCAATTTTAAATTATAGTTTTATTTTACTTATTAAAACATAATAATCATATTATAGATAATCTAAAGTTTTAATTAAATTTAAAGTACAAAAATACAAAAATACTACAACAAAATCATAATATGTATATTTAACTCAAGCGGTCAAATTAAAATTTTATCAGAGCCCATGTAGTTTGTGCTCAACCACGAATATCAACAAAAAGTTATCTCTTATGCAGTTGTTTTCAATATTGTACGAAAAATAAATAACAAACTTTACATATTGCAATCAAAGTTTATGGGTAATTTTGTAAAAAGTATAATAAGGTATGTATTCTTTTTTTATATTTAAAAAAATGTTCAAAGTCCGATATTTAAAAAATGTAAACGCATTGAAATGTAATAACATATCCTAATATTTAGATAATTTGATCGATATCAATTTTGGTTTTTCGTATGTGATTAAAATTTTTTAAATGTGAAAGATCATTTAGGACGTTTTATTTTATTTTAATTTCCTACTCATCAAAACATCACACGATGAGACGTTCAAATTCAATAAAAATTTCAGTTCAACATATATGCATTATCAAAATTATTAATCTAAAATACAAAAAATACTTTCAATGTGCTCAACATAATCACCTCGTAGTAATATAATACAAATATGTACAGATCCACATATTAGTACTGAGTACCAACAATTTCGTTAAACAAATGTAATACGAACATATATTCATTTTTAATATTTAGTCCATTTCCATAGATGTTTTTCACAAAAACAAGAATCCCACGAGGATTACTTACGCACCGTACATACTACCTAATACACGAGTGCCGATGCACCACAACACAGTGATACCGATCATCCATCATGGTGCTATACGAGAAAAATGTGTCAACTCAGTCCAATATAAGTTTATTTAAATAAATTAGTGGTATATACCTATATATTATTTATATATATATATATATATATTTTTTTTTTTTGAAACGAAAACTAATAACCAACGTTACGATGATTATCTAATTTCTATATTTGTAACTATAATCTTAGATAAATAAAAATATAGCCATTTCAAATTTGAAGTAATTCTTGATGAAATATATTAAAATTATTATTGTATACATTTTTTAAATAAAAAACACGGAAAATCTCATTTTTTTTATCGACAAAATTATAAATGTTCATGAGACGAAATTTGACGTTATTTCCAAGATTAGTTTTAGACTTGTAACACAAAAAAAATACAAGACCTTTATTCTTCAAAGTACCTTATAAATCTAATGTTTGGTTCTAAAACTATGTTACACAAAAATGTTGATGTAAATTTATAGTGTGTCTACACTAAAATATTAATGGAAAAAAAAGAAATTATACACTGTGTCTGTATCACATATATAGTCAATGAAATGTTATCCTCGCCATAGATACGTTGGTACATGAATTAATCTTACACACAGTAAAAAGGAGTAAAATGAATCATTTCTCCGACGATGTCAAACAAATCAATTGACGACGATGGTTGTGATATCCAGCGTGACATTACAGACAAAACGTTAATAAAATCTCCTCCATGGACATTCTTTCTAATAATAAAGGTCCTATAGGTATTATTTAATATTAGTTCCTGTATAATATTTTGTCACACTAGTTTACGTATAACGTATGTTTGTATTCAATCCTATAAATATTAATCATTTTAATTCGAAAATTATTATAATCGATAATTATCTATTATCGTATCTATATTACAATTATTACTTCTTAACAGTATTGTAAAGATGGTAAATTATAAAGCGTATTACCATTGACTCTTTTTATACTTATAAAAGTCCAAATGTTATATTTACATTATTTTATTTTTATAAATAGATAATATAGATCAGCTGTTCCCCAAATTCCCTAACTCCAATTTAACTCTAATTTTTTTTTAATTATTCATAGAAAAATCAATATTGCATAAAATTGTTTAAAGTTTGTTCATTATTATTGTTTGTTACAATTACCACTTTCATCATTCAAAAACGTACATCTTGCGGAATCCTTGAGATTATCCCACAGAACCAGAGGCGAAGTGACTCGCTGGATAATCAGGATAATAGATAATAAAAGTCTGGTATGTTAAAATTAATTAATATTTTGTTATTTTTAGTTGACTGTAGAAATAAATAAACCGAATGTATTGTGTGAACCACGAATTAAAATATTACGACCAATACGAAATAACTCGTTTCCTACGTCATTACCATTGATTATAAAATACTATATATTATTATATTATATTATTTTCGTATGTCATCTTATTGTATAATAACGTTAAGCCACTAACCACACAATCTACAAATAGTTATTCAGATAGGTATATTGTCATCATAATATTGTGGGGTTGACTTAATACCTAAACAAAACAACATATACGACTATGATTGTGAATAACTGTACAGGTTTGCATTATTATTAAACTATAATACCACAGATTATGAATATATAGTGTGCGTGATAATATGGAATAAATCCAAACAAAAATTCACTTACATTTCTAAAGGTTTTTGTAAATGGATACTTTGTTGTTTGTATTACGGAGTACGAACATAGTACTGGTGATTAATATTTATCCGTCCAATATTTAATGTTTTTTTTTTTTTTTTGATTTAATTTTATTTCCAACAGAACATTTTTATTAAGTTAATCTACAATTTTCAATTTCTAATTTTTTTTTTATTTCTCATACTATTTTCAACAAGCAAACCAACAACAAATATAAACGAAATAGAGCGTGCGAGAGAACAAGAAAAAAACAAAAAGCTCTGATTTAGCTAAAGTGTGGAAAATGTAATTCATACTTCAAAGGTATACCATATATGGTAGTATGCTACTACAGTTTTTTTATACTTTAAATTTAAATTTTTAATATTTTTCTTATTTTTAATTTTTGTACAATTAACCTATTTGGGTATATACATAATGTGCAAATAAAATAATCTTAAGTTATTTTTTTTTTATTTAAGTATTTGGTGAATCGGTTAGTGAAGACCAAGAAACTTTTAAGGTTGAACAAAATATAAATGATTTAGATTCTGGCACAAGTGCAAACTAGTTGGAATATTTAGGAAGAAAAACAAAATTATTCAATATCCACCTATGAAAAAAAAATTGTTCTTTGCACTCGTATTATATAAAATACGTAATAAAGTATTGATGTATGCTTATTGTTTGAAAATAGATCATCAACTATCGATCAATTGTTCACTCATTTACCAATTAAAAGAGTAGGTGATGAACTAGTCAGTTATAGTAGATATTAAAATTAAATATATTACTAATACTCTTATTTAATTTATACTAATTGTACTTTACAAACCAATTATAATCAATGACTAAGAAAATTAATTTGTTTTATAATATATATCCTAGATGAATTAATTAGTTTTGCCCGAGTAAAAAATA